AGTGTCGTTGAATACTAATTGGTTCTTTAGTTAGTTGGACGAAAGATGTATAAAAATAGCATTACCTTCCAAAGAATGAATAATACTATTAACTTTTATTATTATACTAGAAATTTATATGGATTTGAATTGCTTTATATTTCTTATACCTAAATATTGGTCACTGATTTAGTAATATTTCCTGTAATTTTTTAAAGGAAAAAGTTAAGGCGTCCCATTGGTTTTTCTTCATCTAATATCTGAATTATTTGATAAAAGTTTTTAAAAAAATATTGTTTACATAAATCTGATTTATTCAGAATATAATTTTTTAAATATTTCGTTTTATTATACAATTTCTATTGAATTAGTTTTTGACAAGGTCAGCCACTGAAAATATAATCGATAAATCAATTTTCATTACGTCAACATAAAACATGCATTAAACACTTAAGAATACCATCTGGATATTGTATAATATTAAACAAAAAAAGTTGGTTGAACACAAATTTATGGGTAAACGAAAAATTTATTTTAGATTTTATTTAGGAAATCGAAATTTTATTTGGAAATTCTATTTTTCATACTCTTTCGGCTCATTATAATTATTATTTTAGGGAATCAAACGTCGACATATAATTCTAAACCATTTTGGACCTTTATTGTGCCCTTATGTCGATTGACCATTTTTTTTAATTCATAATGAAATTGGGAAATTGTTACTTCCAATTTTGACCCCTCCATGGGCTCTTTTAAATTGTTTTAGGGGTTTGTCAAACGTCGATACATAATTTTAAACGTCTTTGGGATCTTAATTGTGCCTTCCTGACGATTGATCATATTTTCAAAGTTGAAATTCGTCTCGGGACTCTTGTTTTTTTTATAATTTACCCATTGAAAATATTTTAGGGGGTGGTTAAAAAAAAATTAATGGGTGGTCAGAAATTGGTCAATCCTTTGGTGAATATGTAGTTTTGAAAAATATACTTCGAGGGGCCAGCGGGTACTTGGCTTTTATTTTTTTTATATGTTTCTGAGGGTGGTAAAAAAAGTTATTGGGATGTCAAATATGATCGATAGTTGGTTAAACGCGTTAAAAACTAAAATTTTCTCATTTCAGTGGGCAAGCTTCACACAGCTGCTTACAAATCGTTGATTGCGCTGCAAAAAATTATTAGACTGGTTTTGAAATTTGACCTATCCGCCCTATCCTCCAGATTTAGCACCATCCAGTTATTTGTTTCCAAAGCTTAAATAACACTTTAAAGGTAAAATATTTTCGACAAATAATGAAGTGCCATGTGCAGTTGAGTAATGGTTTGCATACCTAAACACATATTTTTTTCAATAAATGAAATTTATTTTTAAATATTGTGGCGTTTTATGTACTAGTATTTACTAATACCACCTTGTATATCAGGGGCGGATCCAGAACCTTTACACTGGGGAGGGGGGTAATTTGCAGAGTTTGTAGTGTGAGCTGATTTTTAATTTTTTTCGTTAAGTGTGTCAACGACTTCAACTACTAGGGTTATTAGTCTAGAGGTAAGGGACAATTGTTTCTTTTGAATCCGCCGGTGTCCTATATATCAGATTTATTGAATATTTGTCTAAATTGAAAATTTAATTTTCAGCCATTCATGAGAGTCAAAAAAAAACTCTTAGATCTGGTAAATTGAATTGAACATTCTTTTGTTATTCAAATGAGGCTTCTATTTTCAACAAAAACTAAAAAACTACTCTTTATACAAAAGAATTTTATTACCTTAAATGTAGCAAGAATTTTAGTATCGTTAAAAGACCAATAAACTCAAAATATACATTTTCTCGGTAAAGATAAAGTTTAGAGGGAGCAGAGTGTTCCAGCTCTTTGTTTTAACTCATCCTTTAATATAGTATAGTGCGTTGTTCATTTTAGGAATCCCGATAAGGGTTCATAACAATCCGTTGTTAATTTACTATGTTCTCCTGAGAGGACTCCTTTCAAATTTATTAATACTATAGGAGGATTTCTAAAATAACTAAGCGTACAGAGTACAGTGTAGGTTTGTAAATTAATATTTATTATCCTATAAACTTTATGGGTACATAAAATAGCCTATTTTTTAATTGTAAAAAATAGCTATTTATGTAACCAGTTACGAAATGCCTTAATTTGTGTAAAGACTGAATATTTGCGAGCGGCTCAATATTTCGCAACGTGTTACAAGAATTTTTTTTAATTTTGACTAGATTATCATTCATAAAATGTGACTAACCATTCATTTTTTGTACTTCCAGTCAAAAATTAAATAAATGAATATTTGAAACTAATAGCTAACTTCGTACCAATCTGATACTGTTAAAGTATTTATCACTAAATAGTTTTAATTTCTCAAGATTCACCTAGTTATGTAAGTATTCTACTATACAATAAGAGTTTGAGTATTTTGGGCCTCGCGGGTAACCTAAAAGGTTTGAAAATTTGTTAGAAAATGCCTCATACAGCATTGAAGAATTTCTCTATTAAAGTGTGATATTTACAGAAGATATTGATTTGTAATGTTGTTCACTATTCTTGGTTTTTTAACTGGCTTTCAAGAAAAAAGGAGGAAATTCTCAATTCGTTAGTATGTTTTTTAATGTATCTTCAGTGATAATTATTTACCACGTTGGCCGATTCTTTTTATGTTAGAAAGAGGGGAGGTCCCATTTAAATTTGGTCAAGATCCGATGATGGGGTCCATGAAAAAACCATCAAACTCTTTAATTTGCTAAGGCATCTTCACGATTTTGGAGTCGTTTTAAAATTACTTTTGTAACTTGTTTTCATATCAATGTATTTTTATTTAGTTTGTACTTTAGCCTGATAACATTTTTGTACCTCTGTATATTTTGAATCGTTGAATAAATTTTATTTATTTCTGTAGAAGTCCCTCAAGGGTCCATTCCAGGACTTTCATTCTTTTTCCTATTCATAAATACTTTTTTGCGATATATATTTGAGATAATGTATAATCTGTAATTCTTGAAGATTACTGTCAAATTATTTTTATTTTTTCGTTTTTATAGGTGAATATTCACTCTTATTCCACACGAAAATCCAATGTTTGGAACACATTGTCACATTGTTTCCCTAACATCGAAATTTTTAAATGTTTATTTTATTTGATGTGATATCTTTTAGGCGTGAGTTAGGTAATTTATTGTAACACCTTTTAGCATGGCTATGATAGTGGCTTTGTAAAGCCGAAAGTGCTCAGCCTAATTTGAATAACAAAATTTTTACGCACTTATGTGTTCGTATCATTCTTCACCTCATGTTTAGTGTACACCATTCACAGTCTTCTTAACTTAATTATTACCGGTAAATTAGTTTAATGAAGTGCCTTTCCCCATTAAAAAGTAATTAAACGGCACTTAACGTTTCAATACGCTGTTTTAAATAGGTGTTTAAGTGATATCTTTAAATACAATCAATATTATAAAATGCTTGTTTAGTGTTTTTCAGTTTATAGGGAAATTTTGATGTCGTTTTGTCTTCAGAATTTTATGACAGTTGAGGGATAGATCATAATCTTGTTCTTTATGTTCATTACTTTTATAGTTGTGAAAATATTTCTGAAAATTAAAATTTTGTATACTTTTTAACCAGTAATTTTGTACTATAAGTATTTCAATAACTATACGTTAGAAATGTCGTGTTTGATCAGAAAGTTCAGTTTCTCTGAGGCGCCAGGTGCCATGGAAACTTGCCGAAATAGTTCCAAAAGTCATGCCTTTCCTAGTGACACATAAAGTCGCGACGACTATAAAAGCCACGATAAAGTGGACCGCTACCATAGGCGGCCATGTTCCTGCAACGTGGTAGCGACGTAATCGCCACTAAAATTGGGAAAAATGTTTAGTCGTTGGGTAGTGTTTTGTTCCGGCCTCTGTAGATAGATATGACTAGGTCTAGTTACTATAAAGGATCGGGGTAAGTAGCGGGTACTACTCTGCGACTCGGCGGCCTAGTAACACCTCTACATACCTGCCTAGTAACTGTAACTATTCCTTTAATTATTAATTGTATCTTTTAGTGACCTCTTTTTTTATAATAATGGCGCAGTGATATATTATACCAAAAAGATGTACTTTAGGCACGTCTTTAAAATACTTCTTTTGCCATATTTTCAAGCCCAATTTACTTTTTTAATATAAGTTGACATATTAAATGATAAAATTTCAACGCGCTCAAAATAACTTTTTGTAATTTTTTGAGCAAATTAAAAAAGGCACGAAAAAAAAATCATATTTGTTAGGGAAACATTTGTAATACTTTCAAAAATGTGTGATAAATATTAACATAACTAATGCTTTTTTTTTTATTAAAATCAAATTTTTTTTTCTAAAATTTTTAACAACCAATAATGTCCGCCGCTTTTAACAAAGATACTATAAAGTTAGGCCCCCCACAGAAACTATTTCGCTATATCCATATGCCACTAAAATGCCTCGATTCTTTAAAATTCCAAATTGTGGTTACTGGAACTATATTGGAACCTTTTTGCATCTCTATGTACCCAGTTACTTAGACTTAGTAGCACTGGTGGATGCCAGTAACTGATTCACTGGTCCTATATAGTTTTGTCACTATAGAATAAACAATGTTGCTGCCCAGTTCCAGTAACTACTCACTTCCAGTAACTACCCAGATGTTACTTTGACTTGGGGTTTACAGTTCCAATAAAGGGTAGTCTTATGACCGAAAACCTTATTAACTAATATAAAAAGAAATACATTTTTGCTACTATACTTAGCTTAAAATAAGTTTTCTTTAAGTTTTCTAATGCACTGAAAATTTTTATAGCTTTGATAAAAAATAATATTTCAAGGATTTTTTAAAGTGTACATCTTTATTCACCAGTAAATTCAATAATTGCAAACGACTTCCGTAAACCGCGGCGATATTTACACCTAAAAAGGGTTATAGTATTCCAAAACCTCGATATTGAACACGGAGAATTTAGAAAAATATTTCTAATATTGAAGCGACTCACCTAAGCACGCCGTTTTCTGTGGCGTACTGACAAATCCCCAATTATATTCAGTCATCGCTTGAATGGCGAAGAATCCTGGAATCATAGTGAAATTGTTGGGATACTTGCCGGCTTCCAGGAGCAGGACTTTCCATTTGGAAATTTCTGACAGTCTGCTCGCTATTACCGAGCCCGTAGAACCGGCTCCTATGATGATGAAATCGAACGTGCCGAAATCTAGAAAAATGAACGATATTATATATAAAGTTTTTTTTTAGGGAAATATATTGGGTAAAAATTTACATAATATTGAAGAAAATCCGATAAGGCAAACGACTTATGACAGGATTTTTCTATAAAGTCGGCGGTTTAGGAAATAATAAATTTATTCCTTTCATTGAAACCATATGTGAATTTATAATTATTAATATTCCTGTAAGTAGGTTGTTTAACATGTTGGAATGTTCAATAAATAAATAATGAAATACCACTGGTTGTAAAAAAACTCATATTTTTACTCATTTAAAAATTATATTGAAGAAACATTTAATTAATATGTGATATTTGCTACCATTTATTGTATCGTTAACATTGGTGACTACATTCGACATTCAATATGAGCTGTGTTCACTAGTATAATCTCCCCAGAGCTTGGATTCCAGTACACGATTTTTTTGAAAAATAACCGCGAAAATAGTTTTCTTAAAAAAATCGTGTATGAGGAAACATTTTTGGTCTTTATTTCAGGATCGTGGGAGATTCGGTAAGAAAATTTCACATCAGAATAAACCCGTTAAATTAAAAATAATGACATTTTGATTATGAAATATAAAACTCTAAAATTGCGAAGTAGGCTTTGTAACTGTCAACGAACCTCTTAAAATTAACGGAAGCTTATTGTTTATAAAAATGTATTATATTACACGGTGCTTGGGAACCAACTTTAAATGAAAAGTTTATTTTTTCGGTCAAAGTATTTCTTAAGGACTATAGATTGGCGCATTATGTTTTTTAAAATCGGTTCCAGCAGCCGTTTTTAAGAAAACTCGATTTTTCATGAAAAAGTGACCTTTTTTTTTTACTTTTTTGCTTGTAACTTGCGCATTTCACATTTTCTCGGCTTGCCAAAAGTAAATTTCAATGGGAAAATGTCCGCTCTACAAAAACGCATCAATGACTTTTTTCTCTAAAATCGGCCGATTTTGAGTTAAATGAGACACGGTGCTTGGGAACCAACTTTAAATGAAAAGGTTATTTACTAAACTTTTTTTCAGTCAAAGTATTTCTGGCGCAATATATTTTTTTAAATCGGTTCCAGCAGCCGTTTTTGAGAAAACTCGATTTTTAATGAAAAAGTGACCTTTTTTTGACTTTTTTGCTTGTAACTTGCGCATTTCACATTTTCTCGGCTTGCCAAAACTAAATTTCAATGGGAAAATGTCCGCTCTAAAATCAGCCGATTTGAGATCTCATTTAATTCAAAAAAGGTCACTTTTTCATTAAAAATCGAGTTTTCTCAAAAACGGCTGCTGGAACCGATTTAAAAAAATATATTGCGCCAATCTATAGCCCTTTAGAAATACTTTGACTGAAAAAAAGTTTAGTAAATAACCTTTTCATTTAAAGTTGGTTCCCAAGCACCGTGATTAGTAGAGTCGTTCTGGTTTGATCTGATGTGGCGCCATACAAATTAAATTTATTAATGAAATAATCACAGATAGATTAATAATATTGAGATGAAGTCACTAAATTTTTCTTTAGTTTATTTATAAAAATATTAGCGTTCTTAAGAATCTTCGTATTTTTATTTGTTAGAAAGTTCCATTTTTGAACCTTTGCGAGAGCCGCCGTAGTTGAAAATATATTATTCTTTACAGAAATTGGAATCAAGCTATGAACGCTCTAATTCAGGTAAATTCTCTGGTCATTTTCGCAAATTTCAAGAGGGCATTTTTTTCAGTCCTTCGTTTTGTAAATATTGGCTACTCCCACTCCAAACCACTCGGGAAACCGAATAAGTCCGAGCGTAAAGTATAAAGCTAAAATCTCTACAAATTCTTTCTCTTTTCCAGTGCGAGTTTCCGAAATGACTTAAATTTTTTTGCTCCAATCGTGTAAAAACGGTGGAAAATATATGGTAGGATTCTTTCATTATTAGCTTTTAGATTTAATTCGTTATCCTCTGGGTCGATCGTCGCTTGTTAAATATTAGTAAAGAAATCATCTTTTATAGTCCTAACAACTTAGCCTTTACTAGTCGATTTTGATATCGTTTTAGAATTTCTGAACTTTCGTAAGAGAGGACAGTCCACCAATATTGCAGTCTGATTTCAACGACAGAACTTCCTGAAGTCGAAATAATAATTTCCCAACTTTGTTCAGAATACCGTTTTGTGAGTTATGAAGTTACGTAAGCGAAGCAAGTTCAGCATTAATGCCATCTTATTTCTCAACAGCCATGGTTCCCCGGATCAATAGACCCTCACTACTCCGGAAATCAATGAAATCTTTAATTTACTACTTACCGTCGGTATCAACAGTAGTAAACCGCATTCCTTTGAAAACAATCTGTTAATCGGGGACCGATAATTAAAATAGGTAGATTTTAACCAAGCTTAATTTTTCCGAAAATCCGACCATAATCGCAGGCAGTGGCGGCTCGTGGGCACTAGCGGCAGTGGGGCACACACTGGAAAGGAATCCCGGGATTCGTTTTTCCCTTAGGAAAACAAGTTCTCCGCTTAATTAAAATTAAATTAATTTCAAAAAATCAGTTGGGGCAATAACGATTTCTGAATGTGACTACAGGGAGCTAAATGTGACCACTCAAAATGCATTTAACTATGTATGTGGCTATTTAATCAAAAAACCATTACATATCCACTTTTGCGAAATTTGCGTAAATTTCTCAGAAGAATGCAATTTACTTAACAATTCTAACGCATTTTAAAGCATGCGACTCTGAAGAAAAGGTGTTTGGCAATTTAAAATCTCCCAGCGAAAAATTTCTCTTTTATATTTTCAAATTAGAAAAAATATATATCTCTATTTGATAGTTTGTAAACTAAGCCTGGAATTTCCAACGCATACCTTTTTGAGATGAGCAAAATAGAATTTGGTCATCCTTGCCAACAATTTGCGAAAATGTACACCATTAAATTATTTATAGGACTCAGAATTTTTTATACTCTTAAATATGCAAACAGAGATTTAAAATCCTCGAAAAAGTCAGACAAAACCAAAAGAAAAATTAAAATTTTGTCCCATTTATAAATATTATTGATTTTTTTTTCATCATATTTTTAACTACTTTATAAAAAAAAAGTTATTTTTCTTTGTAGTTTTATTTCTTAACTATTCCAATGGTCCAACAAACGCGCACATTAAGCCGAAACCGTCATCGCCTTTGTGAGGGAGCCGGTAAAGATACCGCTGCGTACAGTCTGTTCGCTATTCGCGATTCAAATAAATTTTCGCGCGCCTGTCATTTGTCACCTATAAGTAGGATGTTTGTTTATTTACATGTGTTTGTTTTGGGCGGATTTTGTATTTGTGATTTTGTTAACTGTTTTTAGATAATATTCTCATTGTAATAGTGTTTTTGAGTTTCATTTAGTGTTAATTTAAGTTTAAAGTCTCGTGTTTTCGTCATAAATTTATCATGTGTATGACTTAATTTGTTGGAAATATTCACCCATTGGTTGCTACAAGAACATCTAGAAATATATATTTACTAAACCCAGGGCATGTTTTATTATGTGGTTTAAAGGATATTTCGGGTACCAGACGTTTATTATTGATGAACTTATTTAAAAATCTTACTACATAGATTTATTCTTATATTATGAAGTGAATTATGTAGTACTTTGTATACATGTAAATGATAATAAAACCATCACAAATTTTACGACGTGCACTTGGAAAATAATGAATACTTCAGTTTTGATTTTGACATTTACACAGTATAGATTGCAATTTGCTGGGGACTTCTTCGCAGATTTCATTTTTACTATAAACACTATACCATACTATAAGAAATAAACAAATTTAAAGCTAAAAAGTAAGAAAAAACTCGAATTTTAATTGATACAAGTTAAAATGTAAACAATGCACACGAACGCCAATGTTGCCAAATGATGAACTGATTTTAAAACAAAATTAATAAATGAACTGAAATTTAAAAAAAATCAATGTAATAAATCGGTTTTATAAAAAAATCCTTAAATAAATATAGAGTATGATTACATATTGCTAAACACAAATTTTGATTCTTAAATAATAGTATATTACACACCGAGGTGGGAAGAGTTTGATTCCTGTCGTGAGATTAGTTAGATCACCGAGACGCGAAGCGTCGAGATTAGCTATGATCTTGAGACAGGAATTAAACTTCCTACCGAGGTTTGTATACTATTTTATTTACAACCATCATATTTCGATCAAAGTTAATAAATCTCTGTTTCGTTTTGAACATACCTAAAATATTAATTATATAATTAATAAAATATTATTAAAATTTAACGACAAATTAACAAGCGCACGGTTTTCTCAGAATAATTAAGTAAATATATTGTGTGATAACGGGGTAAACAACTGTCACCAATATAAATAAATGTCAGATAAAGCCGAATATTAAATTCGCGAATAATAAATATCAATAAGTAGTTTGTTGTATTTTAGTTCATTGTTGTTTTTTATTGTTTGCCATTAAATAGGTATTATAAACTTTATCAAAAAATGTGTTATTTTTTTTTTAAATATAAAAAATATTCATCTAGAATAGATGAAATAAGGGCGGGAAGTAGAGGTGTGTAGTGTGACACTTCCCAACCTTCAATGACGTTAGTAATGACAACATTACATATATGGTTGTAAATAAAAGGTATTATCCACTTCTTCAATAACTAAAATCCGACGACGTAGCGAAATTTTGCTACTTCTGGCAACACTGAACGATATCCTACTTATAGGGACCTTCTACAAATTTCCTCCAGAGGGCGTATCTTAGCTTGAATCGCGAATACTTACGCGGGTTTCGGATTAAAAATTTCCAGGTAAGTACCCGAAAGTTTGACCTGTTCTTTGGGGAAATATCAACTGGTTAAATGAAATGAAAAATAATGTACAACTTTTAAATAAATAATAATGGAGAATCTTTTGTATAATTGAGAGCAGAATTAAACTTCTTCATTAATGGAGTCTAATGTGGCTATTATAAACCTAATAATAATTTTATA